GATGGATGGATGGATGGATGGATGGATGGATGGATGGATGGATGGATGGATGGATGGATGGATGGATGGATGGATGGATGGATGGATGTATGGATGGACAACAGTTTCACACACATCAGATTCATCCTAACATGGAGATAAAAGAAACTTTGTCAGCCCCAAAGTTTCAACTGAAGGTTTGACTGAAGATCCAGTTTTATTAGGCTGAGTGAAGAGGCTCAGAGGTTTCTTCAACATGACCCCTCTGCTCTGACTCCAGAAGAGGGGGCTGAAGGGAGGAAAAGCTTCAGCTCTCATCTCAGAGAAGGTGGAAGCTGGCAGGAAAATGACCCATTAGATTTCAAAGTAAAAGCACTCCCGTGGGATCATTGTGTCATTTAGAGAGAAAAAAAGGTTGTCATTAAACTGAGCAGAAGAAAAAGACATTTTGAGCTGCTTTAATATTTCAGAAAATATACAGTAAATCTACCATCTGCAAAAACAAGGTTTAATTCATGAATTCCAATTCAAACCAAAAAAAAAAATGATAACATCATGTTAAAATCATTTTTCTTTCCATAAATCTTTAGTTTGCTATCTGCTTATCAAGTGGTCAGATTTTTTTTAAATTAAATACTAAATACTCCAGCAAAATGACAATAACTTGGTTTTCCATACTTTATTTTTCTGATTTAGAAATATCTTTTGGCAACAAATAAGGTGGACTTTCTGACAAAAGGGATGTACACATTCTCCCTGCGTTGATTCTCTCTGAGTTTCTTCACAGACCAAAAACATGAAGGTTCATGTCACTGTAAACTGTCCCCTGGTGTGAGTGAGTGGATGAATATTTGTTTCTCTCATTTGTGCCTGTGATGGACCGCTGACCTGTCCAGGTGTCTGTATGTGGAGATTATGGACCTGAGGGGAAAAAAAACTGGTATATGATGGATGGACGGACGGACGGACGGATGGATGTTATGGGTGAATGAGTGATGGATGAATGGATGGATGGGGTGGATTTCCTGGCAGGTGTCCATGCGCTGCTTTGCTTGGAACCTCCACCTCCCATGCAGTTGCAGCTCATCAATTAGGCATTTATTTTGAAAGGATTTCCCGGAAGTTTCTGCGTCCCATTTCGTCTCCCTTGACAGCAGCGCGAGCCCCGGGCTTCCAAATAAGGAGTGTGGCAGTGGCTGCGCGCGCGGACTCACGGACAGACAGGGACGCTCCGGAGCCTGGAGCCCGAGGAGGCGGCGGATCTCAGACTGGAGCTCCCTTTGATGCTGGCCGCCGTCAGAGCCTCAGCTTGGAGGAGCGCGCGAACACCAGTTCGATTTGGGAAAATAAATAAAAAAAATCTCCCAACTTTTTTCTTTTCCAAACAAAAACATAAAATTCTGGATTTTTTTTAAAACCAACAGCAGAAAGAAGACGCGCAGCAGAAGAAAAGCAGTTATTTTTTAATTCTTTAGTTCCCGCGGCGGAGCGGAGAAGTTAGGGATCAGGTCTCTGAGGGAGAACCCGCTCCGGATTTTTACGCACCGTGGAGGCGCAGCTCGGCACCTGGACTGCTGTTAGTCTTCCTCTTCTCTTCATCCCTCAAACGTCAGATTAATTATTCCCGGTGCGAGAGGAGCTTTGTGGACCCGTGTCAGGACTTGTCCCTGCAGGATGGAAGAACACTGAGCCACATCAACTCAAGGTAAATGCCTTTATTTATTATTAATACGATTATTTTTATTGACCTGTTCACCTGTAGGTTGACACGTTTTATTTGTATATATATGAAGACTGAAGGCAGAGCTGATGGATTATTAATTGCAGATGTATGAGGGAGGCTGTCAGAAGGTCGGGTCGGGCTCAGACTCGCTGCCGGACCCCTTCCCCTCCAGAACCAAGCCAGCTGCCTGCTCCTTTGTGCTGAGGTTAAAGGTTAAACACACCGAGGATGAGGAGATCAAAATAAGGTCCAAACACTAACAAGTGAATTTTATAATCAACAAAATGAGGTTCTCATGTTCGCTACAGTGTGCTGTAATAAAAATACAAATAAAAAAAAAAACAGAATTATAATTAGATGAAGAAGTGAAGAACCATTAGGTGCAGAACCATTTATGGATGAAGTCCACAGTTCTCAAATCATCTGGAAACATTTTCATAACAGAAAAATCTGACCCGCCTTCCCCCGTTTGAAGCGCCACACATTTTTATTATTTTTTTAAATGTGGACTTTAATTTTGCTTGGATTGTTTTGAAAACAGCAATTTCCCTGCAGACACACGCACACGCACACACAACACGTCCACACCGAAGTCCTGTTCGGATCCCATGTGATGGAGAAACAGGGTGTAGCTGCAGATGGAGGAACCTGGACCTGTGCAGAGGAGGACGCAGATGGGCTGGAGCCTGTCGCTGTGGCGCACTTTCCAACTGATGGCCACACAGTGACTTGTCGTTCACAGTTTTCCTCCTGGTTTCTCCTTCGCCGATGGGATTTCGTACGAGCAGTCTGAGGCATCGATGGATGTCAAGACAACTAAGAGAAGAGCAGAAAAGCAAGCGGTTCTATTGAACGTTAGACGTTCAAATTCCATTACTGACCACATGTTTTGGAACTAAACCCCTACAGTTGTCCTCAGGTTCTCAGCTCGTCCTGTTGGGGGCGCTACAGAGCACCCCGTTCAGCCCTGCCCTTGTGTCAGCTCTGAGCTCTGTCAGCACAAAGCTCAGCTGCTTGTTGACTTTCAGCAGCTAATTGAGCGAGGAACACAGAAAAAAAGGTGTGACGTGTCAACAGGTGAAAGTGAGAGAAAAACATTTATCTCAGGATATTTGAGCTGTGTTTCTGATTAGTTTCTGTGCTTGGAAACAAACTTTTACAAGACCTGCTCCAATAATTAATCATTCAGGCCAGTGCTTTTTTCTACAGACGCTGAAGAAAATCCTGCTTTAATTTTAATAAGAAAATGTTCATTTAACGTCTGTTTTTCATTTTCTTAAAGGTTTAAAAGGTAAAATCAGGATTTTGTCCTCAAAGGCACAACAATGCTGTGTTGTGTTTTCATGATTATTTATCTCCAAACATCTACTATTCTCTAATGATGTGTTTCTCTTATGACATTAAATGTCGAAACGTCTCAATCTTTTTGCTTTTTTTTATGTTGGACTTATTTACAGAATTTCGGTAAAAACGAGAACGAACCAAATCATGATATCATAGATAACTAAACCATGGCCTTCTGTAAAACAACAACGTTTAATAAGGTTCAAGGTTGAGCTGATTTACATATCAGTTTTTTTTTTTCTGACACTGGCGCCAGGTGGAGCTGGTGCTCCCCAATTTGCTAAAGAGAAGGTGCATTTATTTTTTTTGTTCCCCCATTGTTATTAAATTTAAAACATGCTATTATTCCCATCAACAAGACAAATACTGATGATTTCACTCTCTCTGTTACAAACAAAAAAATTGAAATAAAATAATTGCTGCGTTCTACGCCTCCCTCCTTCAGTTCTGAGTGGTTTCAGTCCTGCAGTAGAGTTCTCTAGTCAGACAACGTTTTCAGCTGCGGAGATAAGAAAACCAAAAGCATTTTATTAAAAGCTTTAAAACTGTGCTGAATATTTTCAGACAGAACAGAATGAGAATAGTGAGGTAGGTCAGTATTTAGGTTAAGAAAATAATGGAACGCCCTTATGGTGCTCTTATGTTCACATCTACCTGGACTCACAGGTCACTCTGTTCGGGCCACGTCTTCAATTTCTTCTTAATGATAGAAAATAATCCAAACGTTCGGCAGCAACTCAGTGCTTCAGGCATGTGGACACGGTGAAGACGATTTGCTGAAGCTCAAACTGAGCATCAGAAAAAAGGATTTAAGAGAGTTTTAATGTGGTGTGGTTGTTGGTGCCAAATACACTGATCGAGGTGTTTCAGAAACTGCTGATCTACTGGGATTTTTAGATACAACCTTTTTGGGGGGTTTAAAACAAAGGGCCAAGAAAAAAAATCCATTTAACAAAATTTATGTAGACAAACAGCCATATAAAAGAGGTAAGAGGAGAATAAAATGATATGTTTTAGATGACAAAAAGGCAAAAGTAGGTCAAAGGTCTGCAGACCTGACTCTGGACCCACAACACCTCCAACCTTAAAGAAGAGGGGCTGCAGCAACAGAATATCACACTAGCTGCCTCTCGTGTCCGCTAAGAACAGAAAACTGAGGCTACAGTTCACAGAGAATCAAAACTATAACTACAGTTCAAACAGACATAAAACTGAGGCTGCAGTTCACACAGAGTCAAAACTGAGGCTACAGTTAACATGGAGAAAACACTAAAGCTACAGTTCACACAGAAACAACACTGGAGCTACAGTTAACATGTAAAACAACACTGGAGCTACAGTTAACATGTAAACAACACTGGAGCTACAGTTAACATGTAAAACAACACTGGAGCTACAGTTAACATGTAAACAACACTGGAGCTACAGTTAACATGTAAAACAACACTGGAGCTACAGTTAACATGTAAAACAAAACTGGAGCTACAGAACACGCAGACTTAAACTTAAGCTACAGTTCACATATTGAGACAGGAAAATGTTGCCTGGTTTGTTGTTTGGAATAATTCATTTCAAATGGTAAACACCAACACTAGATCTTAGTCCAATCGAGCACCTTTGAGATGTGGTAAAATAGGAGATTCACATCATGAACGTACAGCAGACAAATATGCAGCATCTTTGTTACACAACTAGTTTTTATTGGACCAGAACCTCAGAATTGTGTCCAACATCATTCAACAAGCAAGGTACATCTAAAAAAGTGGCCAGTGAATGTATAAATTCATTTATATTTTTTTATATGTTCATATATCACACCACTGGATTTGATTAAAGCACATTACAATTTTAATACCAGCGTGGTATTTCTGTCTTGATATCTGTTATGTAGACACCTCGGGCATTTAGATTTTTACATTTCCATGTTTGCTCCCTAATTGTACCAATCATCAAGTGCTCCTGGTCATTAGTAATCGTTTTTGTTCTATAATAAACTTAGTTCTGTTTTCCATATATGCATGTTAATGGTTCATATCACCAACCAGAACTGATGTTTCTGTGAGATGGATAATTTTTCCTGAAACTATAAAAATAGTCTATTACATTTATTTAAGTGTTTGTATTTATTAACAAATTTCTATATGAGTCAAGAAGACCATGACAGTTATTCACTGGTCAGTTCTTTGTAGTGATGAAATAGCTTCACATTATAAAACTCCCCTAAGTTCAGGATTACTTTTCACTTAAATCACTGCATCCTTTTTTCCTCTCAGGATGTTCATCTCTTGTCTTTTGTACTGATCAAGTAGTTTGGACTCATTCTGGACCTCAGATTCAAGACTGACATGCTCAGATTAATATCCAAATAAACTCTAAATATCCTTCTAGCTTTTCTTCTGTTACAAGCAAATGAGAGATTTTTGTCATAGTGATGTTAAAACCATAAAGACTCATTAAGAGACTGAGGAGCGTACAGGACCAATCTTTTGACAGCACACACGTTTCAGGGGCAGTGCCATGTTCAGGGTCTGAGAGCATCACCCCAGCCTCCCTCCCCACAGGTACTGCTGCATGTTGCAGTCAGCTGTTTGATCTGGCAGAAAGAGAACAGATACGAGAAGTAAACTCCACAGTGGAGCCCTGACAGGCACTGCTGGCTCCAAGTCACAGGAATGAGACAAGCCAGCGACACAACACTGGCCTTTTCAGAGGCATCCATGCATGTTTTTTTAAACCTAGATGTCCTCCTTTGTTTCTGCATCCACATCCTCCCACAGCTTTGGTAAATACCCGAGCTGTCGACTTGCTCGCCCTCCCTCCATCTTCCCATCCTCTGATCACTCGCCTTTCAGACAAGGCCACAGTGTCCAAGGCTGTGTGCCGTCAGAGAACCTCATATGTGAATTTGTAACATCAGAGAGACAAAGAGGAGGCATTGAAGGGAAATAGGGGGTGTCATTGAAGTGTGAGGGTGTGAATGAATGGATACAGACAAGGAGACAGTCAGCAAGATGATAAAAGATGGATTAAAGGTGAGATAGGACAGAAGCATTGACATGGAGCTTTGTGGTATGTTTCCAGGCCTTTGAACATCATGGATCATCTTATACGCCAACTGCTGTTGCTCAGACCACACCATCATTACCCTGAGGTGTGGTTAGATTGCCAAACACTGGGACCGAATTGAAGACCACTAATACACAGTTTAAATTTGTTACTTGTATATATTGGTGCCTGTTTCACTTAGTTACAGTCCTTGACCAGTAAAAAAACAACTTTTGTTTATTTAGCCACTTAACTCGGACCTCTGAATTAATAAAACATGAAAAGAATCCAAAACTCAAGGGATGCACCAGTGCTATGCCAATACAAGACAACTATGCCAATGAATGAATGAATGAATGAATGAATGAATGAATGAATGAATGAATGAATAAGTAAATAAATAAATGAATACATAAATAAATAAACTAGGCAGGCTAACATCATGGTTTTGTTCTGTGGGAGGAAACCAAATTAACCTGAGAATACCCAGAAAATGCAAAATCCTTTAGAGAGAACCCAGATCTGAACCCAGGACCTTTGAGGCATCAATACTGATCTCTACAGTAAGTTGTTGTGCTGCCAAAGAAAATATC